GTACAAAGGCGAAGTCGCACGATATAGCTAGTAAACTGTAACATGATGACTTCATCATCATATCAGCCGTTAACTGTCCACTGCTGAACACAGGTCTTTACCATGAAGGGATTTTGCCAGTTGTTGCCACGCTTAGCACGCGGGTTGGCAACCGCAGTTAGTCTTTGATGAAGTTTTAAAAGGGACGCTGCTGCCCATCCCTCGACTATTTAGTTCCCTTAGTCGCCTCTTACGACACCCACGGGAAAGGAGGGAGTGGCCGATACTAAGCCCAGACCACACAGCAAACAAATATGGCGACCGTAAATTATCAAATGCTTACGAAATTTAATAATAGAACATAGACAATATTTCAGGGAGTTTATTACATGAAAAAATTTAACATTGCCACGTTAGCTTGGATTCTAACAAAATCGGTACCAGGACCCGGCAGGTGAGTAGCCATAAACATAATTACCATAAAGATACCATTATTTATTACAATCACAATTTACTATGACTTTATCATTTAGTTTGCTGCGTTCCCGCCCTTTTCCCGCCGCCATTTTGACGTTACCACTGTTAGTGATGTACCTACCGAGTTAATCTGTTTTGGTATTCACATATTATGGTATCATTTAAAAGAGAATGGAATTCTGGCCTTTTTTCTTTCGAATTTTTTTTCCGAATTTCGCAACTGGTTCTTGGCCACAAGAGAATACCAATACATTGTTCTTTTGAGGGCATAAAAGAAAGAAATTGTTGTTTCATATATCTTGCTTTTTGTGCTTTTTTTGTTGCTTTTTTGTTTTTCATTCTTTCATCTCTTTTTACTGTGTATGTCTGTATTATGTGTATGTTTGTATTGTTATTTGTTGCTGTAAGTAATGCAATTAAATTATCTATCTATCTATAATAATAATATAATATATTTGCTCAAATATGGGTATTACAGATGTTACATTAATAGGTTATTACGCCTCCATATTTTACCATAAATGGCGTATCTATATTGTAACTATAATACACAGATATTTCTATACATGAAACACCCATAGTACTCGAGTCAGCTTGACTTGTCACGTCACTAGCCACTGTAGCGTTAAATACAATCACAACAAAGCGTGACTGGGAGCTTGTGACGTTTAAACTTAGTTATTTACAATAATAATGGCTGGTTTCTTACCTGAAATGAGATGAGAAAATGAAAACAAACCCGAAATAATTCTTATATATTTATAGGGAATAACTTGATATAACGAAAGACTTTTTTTTATACAACTTAGAATGGCAAACAAGCTGATGGCCCACCTGATGAAAAGTGGTAACCGTCGCCTATAGACATGAGCAGTCCCAAGGACATAACAGAGTATACTTTTACGCCCATGATAATCCCCATGCGTTGCCATTCTGGAGGACTTAGGTCTTATTCCTCTGTACACAATAAATTCACTGCCATATCCCACTCTTTAAACCGAAACAGCCATGCAAACACCACTACTTCACGGTAGAAACACGAATGGGACAGAAGTGCCCAAGTAAACGACTTTTGTACAAAGTCTCCCTCTAGTACATAAACTTAGTTGCATAAAAGCAAGATAAAGAGGCAACAATCTAACATTATTCATTTTAATTCCAGATATATCTACGAAGTGGAATCGAAAATGGATAAAAACCTTGTCCTGTACTGCTCTCGTATGTTTTGCGATATATTTTAATATGTCCATTGATATTCAAGCTATAGATGGAGCAACATCGCAGTCTTATTAAAATATCGATTTAACTAAAAATTAACGAAAAGCATGTGTATTTTGATCTGCAAATTAAAAAAATACAAATGTCATTTAAAAAAAAAACTTTTTTTAATAAAAATCGTAGTCATTGTGACATGGGATGATATGTATTTTAACACACAACAACACATTTAAAATCCTCTACCAATATTCCATACATTCAACATTCAGGCATTTAGAGATTACATACAGTAGAATTAAGAAACTTCCATATATGAATCATCATCATCAGCTGTCCACTGCTGAACATAAGCCTCCTTATGGAGTTTTACCAGTACTTGCCACGCTTAACAGGCGGATTGGCAACCGCAGTTAGACTTTGGAAATGTGTTAAGATGGACGCTGCTGCCCATCACCTCGCCTTCCTTTAGTCGCCTCTTACGACTCCTACGGGAAAATTTGTGGCCTATTCTATGCCGAGACCACGTAACATCACGTATATTTATCCTCAAAACGATTCCCTCCTTTTTTTACACAGTTGTGTAAAATGAAAAATAAAATAAAGTTCTAGTGCACTATCTACCTACAAATAGTCACTTAATCTATGAAGAAATTTAGTTTTTCGTTGGACCTGTGTTTTTAGTTGTAAAAACTGCTCTTTTTGGATGGAAAATAAAAAAAAAATAACTAAAATTTCGACTTGGATTAATTATATGCAGGGTGCATTCATTCGCATATTACTTTTCAGGCTAAATTTTGTTCTAATAATAAATTTGAATTATGAATTTTCTTAGCCTGTCCCCCGGCCTTGAAAAAAGTGGCTACACTGTTATTTAATCATTCAATTCATTATTCATTCAAACTTGAAAGCTCAGAGGCAGTATATAATAGCTGGCTCCTGTTTCCAGGATTAAATCACTCAAACCCCCTTAAGGTTTTGAAAAAATTACTCTAGAAAATTAATTCTTTTGAGTAAAAAAAATATGTGTGTATGATTAGCAAGGATATGTTTTTTTTTTAATGGATGAAAATGGAATAGTAACCTGCGCCTGCGCTATCGGTATACGCTGACGGAGCACCAGTGAGAGGTGATAGGTGAAGGTGAAAGCAGGTCAGTTAGCCCATCGTGAAGAATTCCGTGAGAATTAACCACGATGGTTTCCAGGGGGAACCGCGTGGAGGTCGACCTGATAGGGTATGTTGCTAGCAATGGAACTTCTAGATCCCATTACTAACAAAACTAAAATATGTTAGGATATATGTAGGAGCTGTGTCATAAAACAATACATATCCTAGCTTGACATTATAAATAAATATTATACCCAAAATGCCTTGTTTTTTCATACCCCCTATATAAAAAAGACTCATTTAATATTGAATAAATTTCTCTTTTCCCAAACTCACCATCAATACGCGATAAAATGGCCGCTGCAGCGCTTTAAAGCGACCGCATTATATAAATCAGCGCAGTTTTCTCTGCTCCTACCTAATATATTCACGACTGGTATCTATAAATTTAGCTGAATTACATTTCAGCGATATTGGATAAGAAGCTGTTTGCTGGCTTCCCTGCCGACTTGAAAAAAGGACTCCTTTTTCCATTGACTTTGTTTTTTTTTTTCTTTTAATGAATTTGTAATAGATTTTTAACTGACTTCCAAGAAGAGTTGAAGTTCAAGTTCTTCCATATTTTCAATTCGCCAAATTTATTTCGAAAAAAAAACCCTGATGTTTTTATGATTTTTTTTTTGTGAATCGATTTTCGATAATTCTTTTGCTTTTGCAAAAATACGTCTATCCCAAATAGTAGGTGTATACGACAATATGTTATTTTTTTATTTTTTTTTATACAACTTAGAATGGCAAACAAGCTGACGGCCCACCTGATGGAAAGTGGTAACCGTCGCCTATATACATGAGCAGTACTCCCCATGCGTTACTTTTCCTGAGGACTCAGGGGTTATTCCTCTGTACCCTGTAAATTCACGCCATATCCCACCCATCAAACCGAAACACAGCCATGCAAACACAACTGCTTATGCAGCTCAGACAGATAATGGCTGAAATGATGTAAATCATCATTATTAATACTTATTTAAGATTACTAAAATAAAAATACCAAATAAATGCTCTTACATAATGATGCTCAGTATCTTTCAATGCTTTATCTATAAATTTTTAGATAACAGCGACCTTCACAAAACGTAGTATATGTATGAAAAAATATACATGAAAAACAAGGCCAAGTCCATAATAGAATTATATATATATATATATATATATATATATATATATATATATATATATATATATATATATTTTTTTTTATCTAAAGGAATATTGGGTGTTTTCTATAAATAATATGTGTATACATACAAAAATATATTTAAGTATTTTTATCAAGTGTGTAATACCCATAATACAAGCTTTACATAATTTAGAACTAGATGATGATATGTAATACAAGTAAATACAAAGGTTAATTGAAAAAAATAATGTAAAATTCTAGACATTATTTGAATATAATCAGAAAAATTTAATAGTTGTAGCACTTCAGCTGCCCGCTAATGACATGCTTTCTCACTGTATTGGGTTGACTGGAAGAGATCTCTGTCAGAGATATGTCCACCCTTGTCCATATAACATGTAATTTACAAGTGCAATAAAGAATGTATGAAAAAAAATATCTCTCAGTTTTTTAATAAATAAAGTTTTGTTAAGTAATTTATATACGTATTTTATACATATCAAAGAATAATTTCTTTTTACATACACAACATATTCTTGAATACGAGAGAATTTGAAAAATAGCTATATGCCATGTTTTTGACGAGTCAAACTAGGAAAATGTATATGTGTAAGAGTGAAACCCATGCAAAATATTTTATATAAGTATTCTACCTCAATATCGCTGCCCCGTTCATATTTCTACCATAAAGTACTTGTATCTGTATTTTCATGTAAATTCAGTCATGAAAATATAGATACGTTTTGAAGTGTGAGACATGACTGATACATACAGAATCATATTAAATAAGGAGTTGCCAGAAATGGCTACAATATACTCAATAATATGCATAATATGTACGATATATATTCATTGCTTGTAGCTTGTTTGCCATTTTAAGTTTTATAAAAAAATTTGCTGTATAAAATATTTAAAAAAAATTATACGCGGCAAGAACTTGGCCCGGTTTTATTGACGCGTATCGTGCATACAATGTCGTCGGTGAGTATATATCAGCAGATATCAAGAATTGTTTGCTCATATAATGCAACGTTATCTCTTATAGCTTACAGTTGTGTAATATTAGTTACAAACATGAGTTTCTCCGGTAAAGTAGTGCTCATTACTGGCGCCAGTTCTGGTATTGGAGCGGTAACTGCAATACAGTATGCGAAAGAAGAAGCTGACGTCGTCATAGTTGGTAGAAACGAAGCGAAATTGAACGATGTTATTGAAAAGTGTAAACATGTTGGTAAAGCACCGTTTGTTATCAAAGCGGATGTGTCTATCGATGAAGATGCAAGAAGGATTATAAATGAAACAATCAACAAATTTGGTAAACTCGATGTGTTAATCAACAATGCTGGATTCACGAAGTACGGATCCATTTTGGACGGGACTGTTGTGGACGCGTATGACAAGATTATGGGTACGAACGTGCGAGCCGTCATTCAACTAACAACATTGGCAACGCCACATCTAATTAAGAGTAAAGGAAACATTGTAAATGTATCGAGTGTCGCTGGTTTCGCCGTAAGATTGGTACAACAAAACGCATATTCTCTGTCTAAAGCTGCGGTTAACCATTTCACGAAAGGGGCTGCTTTAGAGCTGGCGTCCTATGGAGTGAGAGTGAACGCTGTGAGTCCAGGACCGGTGAGAACTGATTTCTTGGAGAACGCCGGAATTAAAGACACGTGGGATAATTTCCGGAATGGTGTCGCACTCCGGAGAATATCGGAGCCTGAGGAGATAGCTGATGTGATTCTTTATTTATCCAGTGATAAAGCTAGAGGCATAACTGGCTCAAATTTCCTTGCTGACAATGGAAGACTCTTATTATAATGTAAATAATATCGGAAATTTTACATACCTTTTTATCGGTTTGAAGGGTGGGATATGGCAGTGAATTTACAGGGTGCAGAGGAATAACACCTGAGTCCTCAGGAATGGCACCATCCCCCATGTATACGCTTCAGAGGGATATTTGTACAAAAGTCGACTGTATGGATACTGCCATAACCCACTCGTGTTTTTGCCGTGAAACAGTTATGTTTACGTGGCTGATTCAGGTTTGAAGGGTGTGATATGGCAGTAAAATTTCAGGGCATGGAAGAATAACATCTTATTTCTCAGGAATGGCAATGCATGGAAGTATTATGGACAAAACAGTATACTCTGTTATATCCATGGTACTGCTCATGTCTATAGGTGACGGTTACCACTTTCCATCAGGTGAACCGTCAGCTTGTTTGTCATTCTAAGTTGCATAAGAAATTCCTTTTTATTTTATTTAGATTATTAAGTATTAAATGTATAAAACTAAGTCCAATTGGTTACATAACTAAAAATTCTTCAACATTTAAATTTAATATAAAATACAACGAGAATGTCTAATCTTAATTGGAAATACTTGGACAAAGTCTTAATAATGATTAATTAATTAATTAATGATGATTGTAGTGAAATAATGTGTCTTAACATCGTTTCATCTCTTGCTATTATTTCTTATAGAAAGAGTCCAATGTCCGTCCATAGCGCAATATATTATATTATGTAAATTGTAATTATTTATTTGTATTTGAAATAATCTGATTGCGTATTAAAAAGTAATAAAAGCCTCATAATTTGTATGACTTTGATATATTTTAACATATTTACCTATAGACAATAGGTAATAGTGATTAAAAAATATGATTAAAATAAAATTAATTAACATCACAAATATTAATTTATTGCAAAAAAAGTAACATAGCTGTACCACTTATAAAAAATGTTCACTATTGCTTCTTATTCTCCGTGACTTCACACAACACTGTGTAACAGATTGCTACTCCGTTCCTGTACGAAAACTCTATTTCGTACGCGTATCTGTAAGAAATAGAGAAAGGACACACAGAGAGAGAACATACTTTACTTGCATTACACGTATTGTTCAGTGAAACATTGACTTTACTCAGTATTGGTAAAATGATTGATAAAATTGTTGCTTATTTTATGCATTTTGTTTTTTTTTTTTGTATATGTAATTTTTTTTTATCTTTTTTTTTCTGTGCATTTATGTCTTTTGTTGTTTTTGTGCTGTAAGTAATGTAAATAAATTATTTATCTATCTATCTATTTGTAATAAATTACCGACTAAGAAAAAAGCAGTACTATTTTTACGAGGTCATAAACCTGACAGTTTTACAGATTAATTTAAACCGCCTTACAAATTGGAGCTTAAAGCATAAGCAACTAAACTCTTGCATCAATTCCCGGCTGTAGTATTTCCCAACGGAAGAGCACTAAAGAAGGTATATCCTTCCTAAAAGGCGATCGGTAACACACTTGCAATTCCTTCGGTGTTGCTAGTGCTTATGGCAGACGTAATTATTTACCATCAGGTGAACCGCATGGTAATTTTCTCCCTATGTTATTAAAACCGACCAGTTTATAATCACGTGACCTAAACCCATATTTTTTTGAAATCTCGTAATAAACCTCGTGTTATCTCGATTATTGCATACATTAGAGGTGACTATATATATATATATATATATATATATATATATATATATATATATATATATATGTATATATGTATATATATATATGTATATATATATATATATATATATATATATATATATATATATATATATATATATATATATATATATATATATATATATATATATATATATATATATATATATTAGTTGCAATATCTATATATTGGTCCAATAACGAAAAAAAGACTGTTATCTAAAAAATAATATTGAATAACAGACCTTTAACATATTCGAAAGTAATTATTGGACCGATATGGGCGATATCGAAATGGGCGATGACCTTTCCGCCATGTCCAAAGGAAACCAGGATATAGATATCCTAGCATGCACATGCATGAATGTAATATAAATAATATGAAAGTGGATAGTGCAAAACGTGTGTGAATGAGATATTTAGCACTCTGTCCTCAGTGTCTATCCCGCAAGAGCCTTGGCGTGAAGATATATAATATGATGATTTCAAATCACTCACTTTCCAGATTGTGTGACCGTTTTTGTCAATAGAAACGAGAAATTGTTCACGTTTACATTCTCGTGTTTAAATATACCCTGAAATATTAAAAATATATATTTATATATGTAATTTTTAAGGATATAATGGAATGGTAACCTCATCTACCAGAGGGAGACTTTGTACAAAAGTCGTTTGCTTGGGTACCTCTGTCCCATTCGTGTTTCAACCGTGCAGTAGTTGCGTCTGTATATCTGTGTTTCGGTTTGAAGGGTGGGATATGGCGTGAATTTACAGGGTACAGACGAGACACTTTGGCAAGCGAGAATTATGAAAACGCAATGAAAGGTGGCGCAAGAAACAAAAGAAGTAAGAGATAAAATTCATGCAATATAATGAATACAAAAAAGAATCCTCGAAAAATGAAACATGCTTATGAGAAATAAAAAAACAATTACTAACAGGACGAGAACAGCAGCGTCTGTCGAGTCTTACTTTTAAAAACGCGAGCACCTGCCTTATGACGGTGTTTTTACATGGTATCTTTTCCATATTGTAAATAAGTGTTCTCGAATTACCTGACACCTCGTATGTTCTGCAAGATATCTGGAAGCCAAATTGAATTATTTAAATATTGGCTTTTGCTCGCTCCTTTGTAAGCGTTGATTTTAAAAATACGCGTAGGTAGCTTCCACAAAATGAAGATAAAGAAATATGTCTTAAATTAACAAGATTTTTAATTAGACCTTGAGTAAGATAAGTATGAAAATAAGCATTCAAACAGTCGAGTAGCTTTCCATAATGCCGCAACAAACATACAAACAGGCAGACAAATTTTAAATCTACATTGTTCTAGCTTCACAAACATCACCGAAGTCTAACTTAGATTGGTTGCCAACCCGCCTGTCAAGCGTGGTAAATACTGGCAACCCCCCCCCCCCTCCCAAGGGGAGGCCTATTATCCTTATTGAGCAATTAACGGCTTATATAAAAAGAATGCCTTTTATACTTCATATATTACATATATTAAATCCGGAATAAAAATTGTATGGAACGTCTAATTGTCCAAGGGTTAACAAGGCAAACGTTCTCGGGGTAGAACACCAACGCGATGGATTGACCTCGTCAAAACTGCCACACAGCAGTCTATTGTGGAATGCTCTCGCTTGGCGGCGAACAGAAGTAGATGGAGACGCATTGCGAGGACCTCAATCGGGAAGGAGAGCCTCATCGACGGGCCGCTATCATTATAAAAACCACGACTACTCTCTCAAGACTGTATTACTGAAGAGAGAGAGATGTTACGTATATGAAGTACAAAAGGCGGTCTTATCGCTAAAGCAATCTCTTCCAGACAACCAATCCCTTTACCCACCTTTCTCCCCGTATTGGATACGGGGGGAAAGGGATTGTTAGTAATGGAGACTAAAAATCCCATTGCTAGCAAGAACGGTCCTGAGCCACCTGCATCCACTGACTCCCTGTAATGCATTTGAGATCATCACTCCATCTAGTGGGGGCCGTCCTACACTACGTTTGGCCGTACGCGGTCGCCACTCAAGATATTTTCTTTCCCATCGGTTGTCGGGTCAAATTAGACTCGACTACTTACGAGTAAAGGTCCAAATTTGCGTGTAACATTTAATTCTATATTGACGAAAGTGGAATCTTTATTTGGCTTTCTCATGGTAACATTCGATTCTATGGGGGACGTGGGGTCCATCTTGCTTTCAGGTATGTCGCATTTCTCTATTGATAGAAATTCCAGTTTGAAGAGTTTCTGCAAACAAAATAGTCTTTTTAATGGATGATAATGGAATGGTAACCCCACCTGCGCTAACGGTATACTCTGGCGGGGCATCAGTGAGGAAAAACAGGAATGAATAGGCAGGTCAGTTAGCCCATCGTGATGAATAACACCTGGGATTCAGCACAATGATTTCCACGGAGAACCATGTGGAGGTCGACCTACCAGGATATATTGCTAGCAATGGAACTGGTACTCCGCATTACTAACAATCTGTCTTCCCAATCAAGTTCCCAATAGTTTGACTCAATCTCCATTTCGTCCTGACCAGTTGTTTCGAATTAAAAACTTAACTATAGCACTAATTTTGATAGTGTTTTTATGGGACTAATCTGTAAGTACGAGATATACTGTCGGATAAAAAAAGAATAACCCAAATCGGTTTGCAAATGACGGTGTTATTGGGTGACAAACATAAAAACAAATACAATTACCAGAGGGAGACTTTGTACAAAAGTAAAAAAGAATTTACAGGGCACAGAGGAATAACACCTGAGTCCTCAGGAATGCCAACGCATGGGGGGTATCATGGGCGAAACAGTATACTCTGTTATGTCCACGGTACTTATGTCTATAGGCGACGGTTACCACTTTCCATCAGGTGGGCCGTCAGCTTGTTTCCCATTCTAAGTTGTATAAAAAAAAAACCTTATAGATTATATATTCAAGATATAGGAGATATAGGCAATTTTTTATCCCGATAAGTAAATATATCCCTGTTTTCTTTTTCCTGTCGAGAACTATTGAGAACTGTTGAGAACAAGGTCGTGGCTGAAATAGAATAAATATTAATATAAACATTATGATGCGTTGCCATTCCTGAGGACTCAGGTGTTATTCCTCTGTACCCTGTAAATACACGCCATATCCCACCCTTCAAACCGAAACACAGCCATGCAAACACAACTGCTTCACGGTAGAAACACGAATAGGACAGAGGTGCCCAAGCAAACGACTTTTGTACAAAGTCTCCCTCTGGTAAACAAAACGCTATAAGGTAATAAGTAAACAAACTTACTTTCCCATTTATAATATTCATATGGATAATTGAATTTGCCGATTTCATGTTATATTACTCAATATATATTTAATTCAATATATTTGCAAATTATCTCGTCGTTCATATGAAATACCGGTGCGTTTTAGGTTAATAAATTAAATTAATTAACGAATAGTAATTTTACTGGACAAATTTAATTTTATCATTTGGGACAAAATTAATTAAATAAATTATTTACTCAAATTGTTAAAAATATATTTTTCTGATATTTTTTTTTATTGGCGAAGATGGATTAGTAGCCCCGCTTGCGTTATCGGTATACGCTGGCGGGGCACCAGTGCAGGATGACAGGCCCATAGTGACCAATTGAAAAAGAATTAACCATTATGGTTTCCAGGAGGAACCGCAAGGAGGTCGACCTAGTAAGGTGTATTACTAGCAATGAGGTGGGGGAAGAGGGATTGTTAGTAATGGAGACTGAGAATCCCATTGCTGACAATATACCCAACCAGATCGACCTCCTCGCGGCTCCTTCACTGGTGCTCCGCCAGCGTATCCCGTTAGCGCAGGCGGGGTTACCATACCATTTTCACCCAAAAAAAAAATACATATAAATAGATAGATATATCATCATCATCTTCCTACCCTTATCCCAATCATTTGGGGTCGGCGTAATATGATTTTTATCCATACTACAAAAAGACTTGGTTTTTAGTTTTACGACCGGCCACTTGCCTGACATCAACCCTCTTTGGGATAATAGATAGATATATATTATATATAATACACAAATATAATGAAATGAAATGAAATGAAATTTATTTTATTTAAGTACGTACATCAACATTGTGAGAGGTAATAATTCTTCAGACGTGATTTGAAAATCCCTTTGCCTTACCTTTCTACTCTGTATGCTGTCACAGGAGTACAAAGAAAAAAATAAACAAAATAAACACAAAATTTTCAACTGCATCATTATCGATGGACAAATTGAAAATACATATATAATATGTGGCAAATGACTCGTTTGTGTCGCAGTAATGCGCTAGCGCATAATGATAATGACCGTGACGTTACAGGGCCGGATTTGATCTTTTTTTTTTTTATTGGACTATCTATCTATCTATCCATCTATATATAAATAATATGTATATATATATATATATATTTGTTTGCCGTTTGCATGGGTGTCAAAAGTAGGAAAACCGTTCAAAGAAGTCACTTTTAGTTGGCTTTTTTTTTTGTTTATTTATTTTTAATATTACACCTGTAATTAAGAGCTTATATCTGAAAAAAATAAGTAATAATACCAGTGATGAATGATAGATGAGAATGAAGCAGGTCAGTTAAACTACGTGGAGGTCGACCTGACAGTGTATATTGCTAGCAATGCGACTGGTAATCCGCGTTACTAACAGACCCTTCCCCCCGCGCAGACGGGGTTACCATTCCATTAGCATCCATAAAAAAAACTACTCGCTGGTGATGTAGCTTTCTGTAGTTGAAAGAATAATTAAAATCGGTTATTTATTTTTTTAATTTACCCATTAGAAACAAAATCAAATGGTCTCCTCTTTATATTATTAACTAGCGGCCCGTCCAGGCGTCGCACGGGTGGACATTTTTAACATTTCCCTTCACTGCTCTGCTCCTATTGATCATAGCGTGATGAAAAGTATACCATAACCTGCCCAGGAGTATGAAGAATAAGTAACACGTTTCGTTAAAATCCGTCGAGTAGTTTTTGTTTCTATAACGAACATACAGACAGACAGAGAGACAAAAATTTTACTGATTGCATTTTTGGCATCAGTATCGATCACTAATCACCGCCTGATAGTTATTTTGGAAATATATTTCATGTACAGAATTGACCTCTTTAAAAATTTATTATAAGTATAGATTTAGACTGTTAAGTAAACGCGAGCGAAGCCGGCGGCCGTTACTAGTGTGATCGTTATTATCTATCGATTTCGGACAATTGCCTTTCCACCCGCCCACCGTGAAAACTAATATCACAGGTACCGGTTTTAATTACTTACACTTCAAACAATAGAATAGTGAACATCGTAGAGTACCCTCAGATGTAAAAAAAAATATTCATAAAAAAACAATAGTTTCATTTCATTCATTCGTAAATTCCGTTCATTCATTCATTACGTCATTTATTATGTCATTTATTATGTTTACAGAAGAGTCCAACTCTGTCCAAACGTGTTTCTACCGGGAAGAAGCTGTTGCATGGTTGTTTCGGTTTGAAGGATGGGATATAGCAGGAATTTACAGGGTACAGAGGAATAACACCTGATGCCTCAGGAATGGCAACGCATGGAGGGTATCATGAGCGAAACAGTATACTCTGTTATGTCCATGGTACTGCTCATGTCTATAGGCGACGGTTACCACGTTTCATCAGGTGGGCCGTCAGCTTGTCTGCTATTCTATAAAAAAATATAGTCAAATACAATACAATTGATAAAAAGGTAACCAATATTTATTTAAATTGTCATAGAAATACTCTGTAAATTAATTTAGCAACAAATCGAATTAGATTTTAAATTAAACCCATATATTTACGTTTTGGATAATCGAGAACATCGAATACCCAAAACAAGCAAAAATTAATTTACTTTTTATAATTAATTTACTTATTTAACTGTTTATTGCACCAACAAAATAAAATAAAATATTATTAGAAATGACAATTAGAAAATAAATTAGAATTTAGTCAGGTAATATGACGTTGAGCTGATTAAATTTTGACACATTTTATTGATCAAAAGAATCTCTCTCTTTCCTTCTTTTAGCGTTTCAAGAAATTAAATTAAAAACTTCCCAGATCAGATTGACTTTTTAATCGGAATTGAGAACTTTTTTATATATTGAAAAATATTTTTTTTTGTATACTTAAGCATTGTTTTCAAAGTCGGTTAAAAATGCAATTAACTTTAAAAAATATATGACCAACAGCCGCTCCACCGCTCTGCTCCGCCAAATATCTCCTATCGAACTCCGGACTATAATTCCGTTGAAAATTCAGTGGCTCCAATAAAACTCAGCCCGTTTATTGGCCCACTGCCAAGTCCACATTCGTCTAATAGTACACCCCCCCCCCTGCCCCGCACCCCCGTACCCGCTCACCCCCCATTGTGTCCAACTAATGAGTTCTGCGCAATGAGACGTTATGGGCCCACAATGGGATCTGAATCTGTAAGAGAGTGGCTTTGTAAGAAGGAAATTTAATGTCCCAATTGATTATTACCACTCGTGTGCAGGTGGCGCCCTCTGGTGTCAACAGTTACGTAGTTCGAACGCCTTCGATGCTAATACTGAGTTTTTTTTAAGCAACTTAGAATGGCAAACAAGCTTTTTTTTATACAACTTAGAATGGCAAACAAGCTGACGGCCCACCTGACGGAAAGTGGTAACCGTCGCCTATAGACATGAGCAGTACCATGAACATAACAGAGTATACTGTTTCGCCCATGATACCCCCCATGCGTTGCCATTCCTGAGGACTCAGGTGTTATTCCTCTGTACCCAGTAAATTCACGCCATATCCCACCCTTCAAACCTTCAAGCTGACGGCTCACCTGATGGATAGTGGTGACCACAGCCTGTAGATAGAACAGGAGGTTGCTAACAATCCCTTTCCCCCCTCGCCCATCAATTACATAGATTTCTTTAATTAACAAGTCCCAACTTACCCACAATCCGTCACTACATCAAATTAAAAGTTTAAAAAACGTTGGCTGAACTTTGATTATGCTTCGCCGATATAATATATTAACATATATATATATATATATATATATATACATAGAGAGAATTGGATTTCTTTCGTCGAGTTAGTTCAGAAAGTTCGCCATGTCGCAGGCACTTGCGTTCATACATAATATATGTACCAGTCGGACAAATTGGATGCTGTCTAGTAATTACATCTTGTTTGCACTGATTGACAATTTGTAAAGGAAAACAAACTTTTTTTCTATTCCAACCAAATGGTCATGAAATATTTTTTATGTACGTATCTATGTCAAATAAGAGAGAAATAAAATTTTTGTGATTATATTATTGTATTGTATTGCTGAAGTGGCAATGGGCTGGTCAGATAGCTCGAAGAACTGACAACTGATGGGGAGAAAGATTCTTGAGTAGCAACTCCGTACAGGCAAACGCAGTGTAAGATTCCCCCTACTTCCCTTCCAGTAGATAGAATAAAGACCTCAATTGCATTGCAGGGAGTCAGTGAATGACAGTTGGCTCCTGAGCATTGATTCTGACCACTGCTTATGACTTTGGGGGACTTATGACTATATGTCTATGGGGGAGGCCTATGTTCCGCAGTGGACATGAATGGCTGAGATGATGATGATGATGATTGTATTACGAGTATATTGTAATTTTTTTTATTGTACATACTTGTTTTTCGTTATTTAAATTATTTACTTAAGTATGTATTAAATAAGTATCGAAATATTGTACAAAAATCGTCTGCTTGAGTATCTCTATCTCACTCTCACTTCTAGTAACTTACGAGTACATGAACTTAAATCAACTTACATGATTGTTTAATGGGTTGGATATGGCAGGGAAATTACAAGATGTGAAGGAACGAAGGTACCTCATACTCCTCAAGTCTATCACAGTATATTCTGTGATGTTTATGTCTCTAAGCGACGCTTATCACTTTCAATCAGACGGACGATTAGCTCGTTTGCAAGATATGAAGGATTCTTTTAATCAGCAACAAACAACTGAGGCGTTACAATGATGAGGATCATTCTTTTATAAAGAGACTCAATCATTTTCCCATTTTGACTAATTAATTAATCGGTCACATACTTTTAGATATGTAATTGTTGTCTAATTAAAAAAATGTATAGCTAATTATTTTTTAATAACGATAAATCTTTAAAATTAATTTCTAAATGATACATGTTAATTACATTGATGTATAAATAACCTAGATATATAATTAGAGATAAGTTATTAAAAAATAAATATATATTTGTATGTTTGTATATATATATATATATATATATATAACTAATAACTAATATATATATGTAACTTTTTGTTGTTGTCAATAAATGTTTTCTTTCTTTCTTTCTTTCTATTTAAAGATAAGAAATTTCTTTGAGATCACTGCCAGCCGGTAGGGTGCCTAGGATACTTGCTGCATTTCCACGCTGAATAACAATGGAAATGCGTTGACCAAAGTATAGGCCAGCCAAATGTAATTTAACTTTTCGTTGTAATAAAGATCAAATATTATGAGAAAAAAAAAAACATAAAAAGTGTTCTTTCCTTATCAACTGTCTGATTGATCAACCGGTTGATCAATCAGACAGTTTTAAAAGTGTCAAAATTCCCAAAATTCAACAACGTGCCGAGTTGAATTTGTTTAAGGGAAGTTCCGCACGCTGACGGCTCGTCCATTGTTGATACGACTTTTGACATTTATATCGGAAACTTACAACGCTACGTTACAGTACGAGTAATAGCGATAATTTTTTTTTTAATTCTTGCAAATAATAAAAATATATTTAATGTATAAGTGGAGAGAAATTTTATGTATGTATTTTTTTATACAACTTAGAATGGCAAACAAGCTGACGGACCACCTGATGGAAAGATATGAGCAGTACCATGGACTTAACAGAGTATACTGTTTCGCCCATGATACCCCCCATGCGTTGCCATTCCTGAGGACTCAGATGTTATTCCTCTGTACCCTGTAAATTCACGCCATATCCCACCCTTCAAACCGAAACACAGTAACAAACAATTTTGTATTTTTTACATTTTAACTTTTTACGCCATCTATTGTCAGTTAACGTCACTACTTGGTAATAAAGTAACACCAAAAACATAGTAATTAAGATCGTTCATACTGACACCACGTGAAAACCAAATGCACCGAATTGAATGCGGTTACACAGTTACATCCGTGAAGGTCGAACTTTATACACCTAATACACGCGTACTGAACAATACAAAAGCTAGT